CGACAACAAACTCCTCACAGACAAAGCAAGTTTGGCTTGGAAACTAAACAAAAAAAGATGGGCTGTTCAGCAACCCTGTTGGGAAAAAGTGGCTGGCGGCTCGTTGGGGTGGGCGATTTGAAAAGCTCTCAAAATTTAAGGCTGTTTCCGTGTTTGGGCTTCCTTGTCAAAATGCTCCTGGCAAAACGAGAGAGATTTATCTTTCGCAACGGAAGCAGGCCTTCGGCGCTCCGAGCGCTACAAGCCGGCGGATTACGAGCTCCATGTTCTCAGGAGACATCCCGAACTAATCGGCACCCTTCTACCACAGAGCCTAAACAAAACTCGGAAGACAGGTCACGTTCAATCCGGGTAAATCCAGTTCAAAAAGCAAGGGTAGCAATGCGCTGCCGAGAGAAAGCAAACATGGCAGTGTGACCTTCGCTGCAGTCGTTGCCAGAGCATCGGGCCACATAGAGGTTCAGTCGGGGCATACCTGGAAGTTGCAAGTAAAGCAGTGAACCAGAACGCAAAACTGTGTCGCACAAGCTAGGTTGTCAAGCACCAGCAATTGCGTCGCTTCTTTTCACCCTGGTCTAGCCCATTCGCTGCACAGACTCGGCGGGGAGTCGTAGCAAAATCCTATGAATGGAGACACACAGCCATGATGACACCAGGAATCCCGAAGTGCAAGTCTAAGCCCAACGGGTAAACCTGCTGCGCGCACGGCCCAAACTTACGCGAAAAACCTGAGCGAGGGTGGCGTCACGTGTTGCAAAGCTGACCTAAGATCGCGAGATGTGACACAAGCGTGGCAGAAATGGCACTGCGCACGCGCGTGACTTGCTGGTTGCATCGTAACATGCGGCCGGCAAACCTTGGGCTTTCGGGCTCGCCAGGAAAACTGCCGCCTGGTCCTTTGCCAGCTGGATGAAATCGTTGGCGGAGGCAACTGTCATGTCGGCCCAGGCCACCCGGCAGTGCTCCCAGAAATGGTCCTTGCCGCAAACAGAAGAAAGTGTCTGCGCATTACAGTTCGCACTTGTCAGTCCTCAAGGAGCGACGCGCAATGAACCTTTGGTTTGACAATGGAGTCGAAAGCTTGGCGGATGGATTCAAAGCGGGTTCTGGAGTACTCGTTGGCAGGCGGGCGTCGTCTTGCAAACGTTTTCGTGTTGATGGCAAAAGGTTGCTGCTGGCCGCTGGCCGGCAAAGGTTGGCTGGGTTTCGCTTGCTTGGCGTCTGTGCTTGGGGGGTCCTTGTCTGACGGGCTTGCCTTTGCCTTTGCAGCTCGGGATCGTTTGCGCTTGGGTGGCTGTTCTTCCTGGTTGTCGGCAGCTGATGCGGTAGCTGTGTCTTGTTTCTTTGGCCTTCCCCTGGCTTTTGCCCCGGCCTTTCCCGCTGCTTTTGGTTTCGGCGCTGCTTTTGCTTTTGCTCTTCCCTTTTTGTCGGGCGCAGCCTTTGCCTTGCCCTTCCCCTTCGCGCGGGCTTTTGCCTTTGCCTTAGCTCGGGTTTTGCGTTTGGTGGCCTCCTTTGAATCCTCCTCTGAGTCCTTCTCTCCGTTCTCCTGCTTCTGTTTTTTCCTTTGCTTGAACTCTTCTTTCAGCTTGGTCTGATCCTTCCTGGACGCATTGGCCTGTCAAGAGGCAACGCTGTTGAACGCATGAGTGGCGCACGGCGCCTCAAAGTTGAGGAGGCCCAAGTCGTCAGTGGCATTGGCGTCGGCCTCCTGCGGGGCAGTCGGTGCTTTGGAACCCTCATCCCCTTTTGCTTGATCGTTCGTGGCAGCGCTTGCTGGGGCGTCCGCTTTTGTTTGATCGTTACTGCTGGCTTGGGCGTCTGCTTTTGCTTGATCGTCAGTGGCAGCGCTTGCTGGGGCTTCCGCTTTTGCTTGATCGCTACTGGTGGCTTGGGCGTCTGCTTTTGCTTGATTGTCAGTGGCAGCGCTTGCTGGGGCTTCCGCTTTTGCTAGATCGTTCCTGGTGGCTTGGGCGTCTGCTTTTGCTTGATCATTGGTGGCAGCGCTGGCTTGGGCGTCCGCTTTTGCCTGACCGTTGGAGCCTGCTGTTTGCATGGCTGCGTCGCAGTTTGTTGCCACCTCCGGCACCCTTTGCGCAAAAGCACCCGGAGCAAGTTGCCCGGCACCCTCAGCAACTTCAAGATTGTTGGCTAGAGCCTCCAAACAAAGAGTCGGGGCACTCAGGCTGGATGCGCTTGATGCTCGTTGCGGCGCCTTTGGCGCCTCATGTTGGGGCTCACCCTTTAGGGTTTCGGCAGGGTTCGGCACCAGCGCCTTTGCCTCGCTCTCCTGCAATTCCTTGCGGAGCTGTGCAGCAAACGGCGACATGTCAAAGGGAAGAGTTTCAGCCGTGGACGGATCTCCGGGTAGATCAAAGCAAGGGGATTTTGAGCCTTGGTTCGCGTGGTGTTTTTCTAGCAACTGTCACTCAAGGAATTGCTAAGCCCTTCGCTGGACGGTGGTGGGGAAGCAACAGCATTGCGAATGGTGTCCTCCCTGTCAGCCATTGCTTGCCTGAGCAAAGCTTACAGGCAGCGCAGGAAAGTGGGAATCCCTTAGCCAAACAATTAAAAAAGGGTTGCTGTCAGGGTACTCAATTTTGGCCAGCTCTGCGTCCAAGTCCACATCGTCGTTCATGTTCCCAGCAACACAGCCCTGATTAAGGGAAGTAACCTCACTGGTTTCTTTGGCGTCCACCCCCCCCTCATCATCCGAGTCTACCAGTAGGTAGGGGTCCTCCACATCCCCAGCCGGTTCGGCAGGCAAAGCCTCAGCTTCAGCTTCGGCCTCCTGGTCTGCCTGATCTTCATCAGCATCGCGGAGGCGCTGTGACGGAGCCCAGTATTTGGATAAGAGCTTGAAAATGCGAGCAAGGTTTGGATCCTTAGATGGTGCCCAAACATCACAACACGTCCAAGCAACACAGGTCGGCAAACAATAGTTTGAGTTCAGACACCCTGCGGTTTCCACCATCATGCCTCCTGATAGCCAAGGTGAGCAAGGATTTTATTGAGTGTGCATCTCGATGCGTGGCAACTGCATCCGGTTTCATGTAGAGCTTGTTGCGGAGCTTGTTGATCTCCAGGGAAAACAAAAGGGACAAGCACGTTATCTTTGAGGGTGCTCTTTCCATTTCGATACAGGGAAATTCAAACAGAAACATCGCCATTTTAAGCCCCCCTTACTTTCACACACGCACCCCGGGAACAAACACAGACTGGGTTGCCTTGTCTTTGCGAAAATCGACCCCAAACCTGCCTCGGGCTTCAACAAAGGAATTGGTGTGGTTTTTGCCTTTGTGCATTGCGGTGCCCAAATCTGGATGACCGCCAGCAGCACTTCCGCGTTGAGGGACATCACTTCAAAATTGAAAAGCCCAACTTGGCCTTTGTCATCATGCTTGATGAGGGACCCGTGGGCCAGCAACCTCTCCCTCACCTTGGGGTTCGCGTTCCATGCCTTCTTCAAGCCCTGGAGGCTAGCACTGGGCCCATCATCAGCCCCTTCCTCAACCTGCGTGGCCATTTCCTGGAAAAGGCCAGCTAGAGCAACAAATTGCTGTCGGGGATCGGGTGTTTCGACAACACACAGTGCACCCTTCTTTGACCTTGGCCATGAAAACACTAAAGGGGAAAATCAAGGGTCGGCCGATCCAATCCTCTATTTCCTTCCAAAAGTGATGGGCTCAATCCCAAATGGAAATCAACAAGCACAGGGGGTACAGCGGGGCACCGGCTTGTGTAGATCTTGATGTAGGGCATAGGCCTGTGCGAGCCGGGGGTGAGGCAACCGAATTAATGTTTGAAAGGCTGGCCTCCAGGCCCACGGAGCTCTGCAGGCCACCGTCCAAAGCCTCGATGAGTGATGAAATGGCGTTGGTCGATCTTTAGTTTTGAGGCTCTTTTGGCTCTCAAATGAGGATCGGGATCTCTTTTGAGGGTTTGGCCCGGTTCGACGTATAGTCCAAGGTGAAACGAAAAACGGAAACGCAGGCCCTAGAAAAACAGTACTTCGTGTTGTTTCTCACAAACCTGCCTTCGGGGGTTTTGGGGGCCCAGCATCAAAACTGTTCCCGAGCACGGCTATGTTTTGGAGAGACCTTTCCAACAAAACCTTTTCAATCCCTGTCTATACATCAAAAGGAGCCCTCCAATGCCCTTGAACCCTGGTTTGACGGAAGGTTCTCGGAAAGCAGTAGCCCACGGCAGAGCCGTTTCAATGTGTCTCAACTAGGAGCGGGGCAGGAAAATCATCACGGACCTTGTACCTGCGCCATCAAGAATCATGCCCACAGGAAAATTGAGTGGGCTCAACGGACGGGCGCACCACGCAAAGCACATCTTGCTTTCCTTTCGCCATTTTGGGCCTGCCGACGCCACCCGTGCATTGAGGTTCGAAGGCTGAGTGGCCGGAAGTGATGCTGACTCCAAAATGAAATCAAACAACATTTGTGGGTTGAACAAACCAAAGGTTGGCTTGCAGAGATGGGTCCCAATTCCGATTGGCGTTGGCCTTGCAAAGCGGCAAGCTAGGTCTCACCAACCTGCGTGGTCCGAAAAAGCCCCGGCCTGACCGACGTGAGGAAAAAGAGGTCGGCCACACGCTGTCGGAGCCACCAAGGGCTGAGCTGAAGGCAGGTAGGTAACCCCAGCCCCGCCAACACCCGACAAAAACCATAAGCGTCACCCACCACAAAAACGCCGACAGGAAACAAGATCAGCCGAAACTTCCAAGAAACGCCGAAATCAGAAAAAGGATCCTTTTTGGATCTAGGCCAGAACTTTGGCCGATTGAGAGGTCGTAGGTATGAAAGACTAGGTCCCCCAGTAGTGCCCTTTTACCTTTTTTGGGGGAGGGTTCCCCTACTAAAATAGGCTACAGAAAGGCACCCTTATTCTAACCTCTCTACTGGAGGACCCAGAAGAGGAACGCTCCCTTGACTTCCTACCAGCATGACGTGACTGCGACATCCAACTCCCGAGTCGCACCGAGTCAGCGCAAGGTTTGGGCCAAGCTGCCCTGGCGCTGCAGTTCATTCGCCCAGCAGCGCCTGGAGTACTATGCCTCCGCGGCCTCCGGGGACTGGGCGGTTCCTCGACGACCCCTGGTTTGCCTTTAAAGGGATGCCTCATGCCATCCCGCACCCATTTGGGTCCCTCAACAATTCCGAAGTGGGAGGGGGGGCGCCTGGAATTCCATTTTATGGCTTCATGTTCCTTGTTGTGAGGAAGACTGCAGAATGGAATTGGGGATCCCCCACCCCTCGCCTCTTAAGGTCCGGGGGATGGGAAGCCAAGAAGCCAAGAAGCAAGTCCGGGGGGATGGTTCCTGTGTTTTAAGACAAGCCCAGAGCGAATCGACCTTGTCACCTTTTGGTTTTCCCCTTTAGCCCAGGTAGACAGGCAATTTGGCCGACACAAAGGCGGGCTCACTTGTCCAAAACAGATCAACCTTTTGAGTTTTTGACTTTCCCCTTTTGCTTTTGGTCTATTTGTATAGCAAAGTTTCCAAAAGGTTGACCTTGTATTTCCAGGCCATTCCAGGCCCCTTGGGCAAGTGAGAACATAGCTGAGAGGCATTGGTGAAACTGCCCCCCCGCCCTAATGTGGTGAACTCCGAGGTGGACACCCCTATTCGCCAGAGAGTAATGTTGAGGATGTTAATTGATGGACCCAAACACCTCCTTGTTTGGCATGCTTTGTAAGGGGTGGTGGTTGCACTAGTAGTCGGTTTTTAACATTTTTTGTCAACTTTGGGCGCTAAGGATCCCATAGTTTTAAGCTGCAACAAGCGCAAACCAAACAAAGGATGAGCATGTTTGTTGTTTCAGACTCCCAATTTATCACCCGCTCCCTTGTTGTTTGGGTCTTCCAGACAAATTGCATCACCCAATCACGAAGAAACTGTTAAAGTTCTACCGCACTTTGGAACGCTAGTGAACTCCCGGCAGTTGTTCAATCGCATACTTCTTGTTTATTTCAACACATTTAGAGTGGACATCAGTGCCTTTGTAGCGGCTGGGAGTTCGGCCAGAGACTCGGGACATACCTGCAACATGTGGGTGCTGTTTGAACATGCTCACTCGATTCCATTAAGCAGTGGTCCAGCCTGGGTGGTAAAACCAAATTGGTGCCTGTCCCCAACCCCAATTTTGATCATGTCAGTTTGTTGTGTGTTTTATTTTTTGCTTTGTGCATTGCATTTTGACGTATGTTGCTGTGGCTTCTTTGGGCGAGTGTTGCCCGCGTTTTCTTTTGGGAAGGTTTGCCGCTTTGCTGGAACCCGTTCCCCTAGCCTGCTTGGCCTCAATGTTAGGAGGCCCCCTTAAACTGGCCAATGCGTCTGCATGCCGGCCAGTTAGCCTTTAGCAACCCTCTGTATGCCTTGTTTGGTTGTTCAGGATCTCTGAAGGGAAGCCATTCCAGACGTTGATTATCCAGACCTTGTAGGACACAACCATGCCCTATTCCAGATGTAGCTCCATTGCCCTAAGACAACGGGCCATGGACAGTGGGACCCTTGCGGATTCATGCCATGCCTCCAAGCAGCAGGGGATTCGTTCTGCCAATAGGCGCATTTGGGTGAGTCCTTGAGGCTACCCTTTTAGGGGTGCCTTATGGGTGCCGTCTGAAAGGGAATTCAAAAGGAAGCCACCGGGGTTCCCCCACTTGACGCCCCCATTTCATGTGGACTCAGGCAGTTTGAGCCAGCGAAGCGGCGATGCCGCGATGCTGGCCACTGGCGACCATGGGGTTGGTTCTTTTTCCCCAAGCCACCAATGCAAACCACCTGAAAACAACGTTGCCATCATTGGAGTCCAACCATGCAAGACCTTCAGTTCATGAATGAACATGGCGAGTTTTGTGGGCCGGGCATGTGCCAAACCGGCCACCGCGGTCCCGATCCGCAAACGCGGCGGATGCGGTCTCGTTTTCATTTTTCTGCCGGCGTTTTTCGTCTCTGAGAGCGGGATGACCTGCCACACCGGAGAATATCAAGGGGCATGACCTTCCGTCTATTTACAATACGCAGTGCCAGTATTGGCCAGGTACCTTGCCATCCGACAGCTTTGCGTTTTCATGACGCCGTCCAAGTGCCAATACTCATGGCTGCAGCCGAAAGGACGCCCTTGCAAGACATACTCCGTCCACTGCAGGCCAGATGCGGATGGTCTAACTGCGAGCCAGCGACCATCGTCGGGTCGCACGCGGTTTGGCCAGGACACAAAAGACACGTATCTCGCTGACACCTCGTTCAACCTCCTTTGTGGATCCAGGAAGCTCCCTGAAAGACCATCTTCATATCGGTTTGCCCTCCCTTCCTGACATGTGGTGCGTGCAAGCGGAAACTGATCTTTCAGAACTCTCCCATAGGTACTGATTGGCTTACTGCGAGGAAGGGCCTATTCTAGCTTTGTCTTTGGCAGAGTCACCCATGAGGATTGTTTTTTTAGCCCCCTCTGCGGAAACTGGCGAGGGAATTCTATCGGAGAAGCTCACTGAATAAGCTCTGGGATCCCTGCATTGAGGGATTTGGCGCCATTTGTTTTTTGCTGACAGGTTTTTGATGGGAGGCTTGGACCTGAACGCACCTAGATGTGGTAAGGGATATTGACTCAACCATGCCGCAACTTGACCGCTCGCAGTCGCTCCGGCCCAAATGTGAAACAGCTTGGACAAGCCACTCATGGTGCTCAGGATCTGGGGCCGCAACCGGGTGATATCACGGGTAGACTTGAAGCACCTGGTGCTGACCAAGCCTCCCCAGTTCTGACTTTGGGACCCTCGCATTTTGTACCACCCGGGACAGCTTCCGCCTCGCGCTCAAACTTGCCGCATGCCACGAAGACTCAGACCAAGAAAGCAAAGTGAGTGCAGGACTTTCCGGGGCTTGTTTCCGGAGCCACAGTATCAAGATATCCCCAGTGCCGCGTGCCCATGTTTGTTTGATTAAGTGTCCAAAGCGACGTCTTCCTAAAAGATTCGCAGCTTACAGCTTCTCAACGTGCTTCCCACGGGTGTGTTTGACTCCTGAGCAATGGCTTGGCGCCTTGGCCTGTGGCTTGTGAGTTGCTGGATCGATCTTTTGATTTCGTCTTTTTGTGGCAACCATTTTTAGTGCCCCTCCCAAAAGGTGATCACCTTTCATTTCTGTTTTTTTTTTGGCAACTGAACAGAGGTCTCTAACCAGGGTCTTCTCCAAAACTGTGTTCACATTGGATGGTCCCCTCCTGTCCTGTCCACAAACCTGGAATTTGAGTCAGGGATCCTGGAAGACTAATTCCTTTAAACTTGACCCTCTGGCTGGTTCCACGTTAGTGGACAGGAGGGTAGACTAATTTTTAATAATAGTGAGAACACATTAGTTTCCGGGGACCCGGGATGTGGGCCGAGTTAAACAGGGGGGATTATTTTGACAGTGTCTGGGGGTTATCAAACATCTCGGGGCCGTTTTTTTTCTTTTGTTCTTTTGTTTTCTTCTTTTTTTACCTACTGCCATATGGGGTGAAATTGATAATAGTAAACGTATGGAAATCATGAACCCAGTTAAAGGGTGCATTTGGGCCAGTCAAAGCACACCCTGAACCGGCAGCTACAGAGAATGCGTACTGCCTTGGGCTTACAAGCTTTTGTGGTGTGCAATCCCTGCCTCCAAAACCACCTAAAATCGCCCTACGCTGAGATAGAAGGTCCCACCAGCCAGTGAACTCCTGGACAGCAAGACTTGCGTAAACAGGCGTGTAGAATTGGCCCCAGCCCCAATTTCGAGCATAGCTTTCAGAAGCTTAAGGATCTGGGGGCATGGGTGACACAAAGTGGGCGACACAAAGGGCGACACAAAGTGGCGACACAAAGTGGCATCGCCAACTGGTACAATGGATGGTTCAAGACAAACGTCCTGCAAGGGGCGTCACAGGTGCGCCATGCACCCAGTGAAAGCCTAGGGGGTTAAAAGGGGCCCCCACCCACACGCGAAGAAACCTCACCAGCGAACAACAATTACTAGTGTACCCCTATGCCTATGGCTAAGGGTCACGACCCCTGCAGACCCCCGGGCCCTACGCAGAACCCCGACCTCTCAATCAGGACTTGAGGGAATGACAAGTTGGCTTTGAGGTGCCCCACACCCTTCTCATTTAGGCCCACATTCAACGAACTCTGTTAGCTTCTCCGCTACCATCCGGTAAACCTTTGGTGGTTTGCTTGGTCAGTCGGCTTCAAGATTTCGACCCCTGGTCATAGCCATACCCCGACCACCAACTTGGATTGAAATGAACATACATATCCTTCGTACACTGGGGGCAGGCATCAGGTGAGAACCGAGGCCTTGTCAAGACGCCTTCCTTTTTACCTGTTGTCGTAAGTAGATGTGCTGCGCCGCAAACACCCGATTCTGATCTTGGGCAGGAATCCCGTTGTGCTGTTTTGTTGTCCTGATTGCTTTGTGTTGCCGTTCGGTTTGACCGCTGATTCACGTAGTGCTTGTGATTCGTTCAACTTGGGCTGCCAAGTTGACGTAGGAGTTGGCAGGCGGAACCCCGCTCACCTCCTGTTTTTTCAGGACGAGGCGGTTAGAAAATACTAATAGATCAGTGACCAAGCCAAGCTGCTACTCCAGCATTTGAATATCTACAAGTGGAGCGGTTTTTGAGGATACCCTGTTGTTTGTTGGTTTGCTAGCCTACTTGGAGACCAATTGTTCATTGACGGGAGTGGATCCGAGGAGAACCCCCAAGACAGTGAAGCATGGAGTGGAACTCCGGCAGCCTGGGCTGCAAGTCTCGATGGATGCGAAAGGCTTCCGCCCAAACCCCTTTGATAAAATTCCCCAAGTTCGACACTACAGGTGTCCTTTTTGGGTTTCTTTGGTTAGAAATAGATGGCACTGGCTCAGAAACCTTGAACATGTTGTCACCCTTGAGCGACTGGCCGCTGAAGACATCGCCCATTTGGCCAAATATTAAGGCCCCTCGGGTTTCCTGGGCTGTGTGATGTGCACAGCGCCCGCTTCTCGCGAAAAGAAACGCAGTGGCTGAAAACGGTTTTGCTGCCAAGTGTCTGCCTTTCGACAGTTTTTATCCTAGAGAGGGTTATAACTACGACAAGAAACACGTTACAATGACAGGCGGTTTCGTCACCGACAAGCTTCACTGAGAACTATCCCGCCCGACAGCTGTTATCCGTTTGAGTAACCTTTCGCTGGTGTTCCTTTGGGGTTTGAAGGGAAATGGTCGCGACGTGTGGCAAGGTGTGGCCTATGGCAGCAAAGCTCACTTCCCGAGTTCCTGGACTGGAGTCGCTTTTTGGATTTGCGCCATTTTGGTGGTGTATAACAAGTTCCAGGACTTTTCATGGCCAATCCACTCGGGAAGTGAGGTTTTGGGTAGACTCAACATGAAACATTATCAGACAATATTGTTGTTGGAGTAGCCCAGATGTTTGCAAGGTTGGGCAACCGTAAACGACTTCCGCACCAGCGTGACAGAAGCTCAGTGGCAACTTTCCCGAGGTACCTGTGCAAGGGAACGGTGGCCTATGTCGTCATGGAGACCGGGCTCGGGCCTCGTGCGAGAGCAGACTCGGGTGTGCCGACCCTGTTTTGCTCAGCATAACATCCTGAAGCAGGTCGTTCTTTGTGCGTTTGTTTGCTTATTTGTTTCTTTGCTTTGCTTTGTGCTGCTTTGCTTGTTTGTTTATGTGTGTGTGCGGAGTGGCAGAATACCCTGCCACCCTACAACTGCAGGGGGCAGGAGCACCATGGCAAGCCTCCTGCCAACGAAGACACTTGCCATCGGTGGTGATACTGGGACTGATCATCCCAGCGTACCTGCGCAACTCGCGTGATTCAAAGTCCTTTTGGCCCGCTGTTTCTCTCGCTGTGTGTGCTTCATGTTGAATTTGTAACGTTTTCGCTGCTAGACGGAAACCAAGTGACTGCAAGCCGAACCTACACCCACTCGAGACTCATCAGTTGTACTCGAGACTCATCAGTTGTACTCGAAAGATTAGCACCCTCCATCTGGAGTTTAAGTGTGTACACCCCATTCGTGGGGAATCCTCGGGTGTACCCATTGTGTGACCCCGGGCCGGCTCTGTCGGAAAATTTGACCTCAACGTGCTTATCATAGATCAGCGGAATTTCACATTTAACCAGGAACGAGGTTTCACTAAAGGGAAGACAGCCACCTTTTCATAGCTACGTTTCACCCTTCGCTCTTTTTTCTCGCCTTCGTCTTCCGCGTGCCCGTCTTCTGGTTCTTCGCCCGCCTAGGGATGGCTTCTCCTTCCTCCCGTTCTCTTCCTGCTGCCTTTCGTGACCCGCGCGTTCGCCCTCCTCCTGTTCGCCCGCGTAGGGATGGCCTGGTTGTCCTCGCGTTGTTCGCCTTTTTCCTCGTCGTCGTCTTCGTGTCTGTCTTCCTGTTCCTACCTGAAGGATCGAATGATGTTCTTTTTTATATGAAACCACTTTTTTTTGGGTAAACCATTTTTTTTTGGTTTGAATGCAGGTTTTTGGTCTAAACCAGTTTTTGGGAATTCCAACCAATTTTTTGGGGGTCCAGGTGCATTTAGCCTTTGTTTGGGACACAAGTGGCTTGTTTGACTTGATCTTCAGGGGTGAGAGCCTTTTTGGCTCAGTGCGGGAGTATGGAGAGTGCCCCGGCCGGAGATTGCAAGTGCCTGGAGAGCCGGAGGCTTAAACTGCGAAATGGGGTGAGTGCACATGCAAGTTTGTGAAGCATTGTGGTCACAAGCGCCCGTTATCTGAGCCATTTTGGCCCATTTTTGTCACCAGC